GTTCAGTTCCATAGTCTGGAACTATCTGAAGATCAAGTGACAGTGCGGAGACTTAAATACTGTACTGTCGGAAGAAGAGGTGCAGAGTAGTAGTAGTAGGGAGAATGCTGCCACTGAGAGGTCACGTCCCTCTCAGATCAAACAATTCTCACTTGAAGAAGTTGTCCAAGGTGTTTTCTGTACCAAGATGCCATTGTGTTGCAGTGTCTGACAGGGTGAATATCAAAATGGTATACAATACTGACAGGTTGGTAGGTAAGACACATAGGCAACAGTTAGGCAACTTTATTCCGACTTCAAGGGTGATGGACTGATTACATCGTCTTCACATCTCTACTGTTCCTGCCTGCTTTCTGTATGCGACTGAAGAAGCCTACTGTGTAGGCGAAACGTTTTGGAATAAAATTGCCTAACTGTTGCCTATGTGTCTTACCTACCAACCTGTCGGTATTGTATACCATTTTGATATTCACCCTGTCGGACACTGCAACACAAATGTCCTTACATACATTTCCTCCTCTGAAGTATCTACATTGATTGCTGTATATTGACACCTAGTCTTTCTTTTGAAATGTCTAAGTTGACAGTCATCCTGATTACTCTACATTCACACACACAACTCCTTGTTTACACCTAGCTTCTCTTCTGAGGTGTCCAAGTTGATGGTCATCCTGATTATTCTACATCCACACACACATTTCCTTGTCTAGATTTAAGTAGTTATTATGTACAAGGTTTTATGTGCAAGGGGCTTGGACTTCCAGCAAGCATGCATGCATGAGCATGTTAGACAGGAGCGAATGGAGACTAATGGTTTTAAGGACTTGATGTGCTGTTGGAGTGTAAGCAAGGTAACATTTATGAAGGAATTCGGGGAAACTGGCAGGTTGGACTTGAGTCCTGGAGATGAGAAGTAAAGTGTCTGCAGTCTGAAGGAGGGGTGTTAATGTTGCAGTTTTATAACTGTAGTGTAGGCATACCTCTGGCAAGACGGTGATGGAGTGAATGATGGTGAAAGTTTTTATTTTTTGAGCCACCCTGCCTTGATGGGAAATGGCTAATGTGTTAATAAAAAAAAATAAAAAAATAATCATGTACAGTGGACCCCCGGTTTACGATCAGCTCCCAATGCGACCAATTATGTAAGTGTATTTATGTAAGTGCGTTTGTAAGTGTATGTTTGGGGGTCTGAAATGGACTAATCTAATTCACAATATTCCTTATGGGAACAAATTCGGTCAGTACTGGCACTGAACATACTTCTGGAATGAAATAATATCGTAAACCGGGGGTCCACTGTACTAGGATTAGTCTGCCCAAAATGCCCTGGCATGATAGTTGGTTTCTTTGTACATAGCAAACCAAAACTGTAATTACACATTGTAACCTTTACAAAGAAATAAAATCTTTAGTCTTTATTTGTTTGCACATAGCTTCTCCTCTGAGGTGTCTAAGTTGATAATCATCTTGATTATTTTACATCCATACACGCAACTCCTTCGAGGCACAGTGTTTCAGTTTTGTATGCAGTGGTACTCGAGACCAACACATACACAGTTATATTCAATCTTGTTTTGATGACCTTTTACCCAAATTGGGCTTGTGTCAAGTCAAAAACAAATATGTTACTTGATGAACCCCACTTTATGGCCAAAATGCCTGTAATGGTTCCATATAACTGCATATGTCTCTCCTCGCCAAGTGTCTGAGACGATAGTGTTCCTGAGTAGGTACTCTAACTCCCAGCTCCTCCTCAGATGTAGGTTAATAATCAGATAATAAGATGTTAATTCTGTGAGTTTGATCCCTTTTGTAGTTGGCCATATGTGATGCAAAAGTTAGATGTTTACATTTCCATACAAGGATATTGTGGTGCAAAGATATTCTTAAACACTATTCATCAGTCCTCACCAAAGTAATAAAGAAAGCCAAACAACTATACTACTCCAGTAGATTCACTGACACAAGAGGAGATATAAAAAAGACCTGGAAAACACTCTCTCAGATTCTAGGGACCCACAAACTGAAAAAAAACAAGAATATTGTCCTAACTAAACCTAATGAAACACCACTGCAACCCACCGACACAGCTAACAAGATAAACGACTTCTTCTCACCATAGGTTCTAATCTAAACCAATAAAATCCCACGTACCAATGCCCATGCCGGGGACTACCTAGATGGGAATTTCCCAAATTCCTTCTATCTTGCTCAACTGAGCCCACGGAAGTCACCGAGATTATAAAGTCACTTAAAAATAACTCGGGGAATCTGTCTCATGTCCCACCATTTTGTACAAGAGAGGGGCCCTTTATGTCCTCTCGCATACCATCTCATTGCTTTTTAACAAGTCACTAGAAGCTAGCACCTTCCCGAAACTACTCAAGACGGCAAGGGTTACACCAATACATAAAGGTGGTGACCCTACAGATTTAAACAAAATATAGGCCAATATCAAACTTACCATTGCTATCCAAAATCTTTGAGAAACTCGTGCACAGGAGACTATATTCATTTATAACGTCACAAAACATACTCAACCCCTGCCAATTTGGATTCAGGAAAATAAAAGCACTAAAGATGCAATTATAAAAATGCTAGATCTGCTTTACACAGCATTGGAAAATAAGGAATATCCACTAGGAATTTTTATTGACCTAAGAAAGCTTTTGACACGTAGACCACAGCATCCTACTCCACAAACTTGACCATTATGGTATAGAGGCCATGCACTTGCATATTTCAAATCTTACCTTACTAATAGTATCAGTATGTCACCATTAAGGACACAGCATCAACAAACAGCCACTTGATACTGGGTTCCGCAGGGAAGTGTCCTTGGTCCCCTGCTCTTCCTCATATACATCAATGACTTCCCCAAAGTATCTCGACACCTGATGCTGACGACACGATTTTATGTCATCTCTCACCCTAATCTTGCAACCCTCAACACCATGTTAATGAGGAGCTGATCAAAATATCGATTGGATGACAGCCAATAAACTTACGCTTAAGTTGACAAAACGTATCCCATTATGTTTGGTAGCAGAGCAGGAGATGCGCAAATTAACATTAAGATGACAACACTAATTACCAGGCATAATGAGGGCAAATTCCTGGGCCTTATACCTCGACAACAACCTGAACTTCAGCACCCATATCCAACACATAACCAAAAAAGTATCCAAAACGGTTGGGATCCCCTCCCAAAATTACGATACTACGTGCCGCAAACTGCCCTTCTCACATATACCATTCACTTATATATCCATTTCCTCACCTATGCTATCTGTGCTTTTGGGGTTCAACTGCAGCAAACACACCTAAAGCCAATAATAACCCAACAAAAGCCGCAGTAAGAAAAAATCACTAAATCCCACCCCGGGAAACCCCCCCCCCCCTCTTCATAGATCTAAACTTACTCCCTTTCGTCATCCACCTTCTACTGTGAAATCTACATCTACAGGCCCTTTAAATTCCAAATTTTAAACCTTGCCCTAAAATGCTTTTTTGAAGTTTTGACAGAACCCACAGGCACAACACCAGCACAAAACTTCTAGACTTCCCTTTCCCGACAAAACCCTTTTTCAAAAATTCAATGAGTCAAAGGCCCTAAATCGGGAACACCCTACCTGAAAATTCCAAAACTGCAAAAGATTATCCCTTAAAAAACCCACAGCCCCTTTTTTCCCCCTGATACACCCTGTAACTAAAAACCGAATCCCACCTGGTGTTCAACTTACACTCATCCCCCTTTTGCCCAAAAAAGAAATATCAATCTCAATCTCAAAAAAAGAATTTAATAGTCATAATTGGGCCTGTGATACTCCAATACTGAAATATTTTAATGCCAAAACAAAAGCATAATTGCAACCTCAAAAACTAGTATTTAGTCACTTAGCCATAATCCCAACTTATCTCTAATTTTGACCATTTTAAACCTAAGATTTAATATAAGTCTGCCCGAAATGCCTACCATGCTAGGGTTTAGGGGTTTACATTCTGAAATTTTTTATTTTACTAATGTAAACCCCCAAATAACCAAATTCTGTAAATCAGCTTGTAATATTATAGAGAAAAGTTTGAATTACAAAATTATAGTAAAATTAATAAAATAATAGGCAAATTTTAATTTTTCCTGATGTTAGAAAATATACCCCAGACTAAATTTTTTTTTTTTTGTTTTTTAAATACAGAAAGATTTATTTAAAAAATGGTTTGAGAGTAAAATGACACAACTTATTATTTTTATTATTTTTTTTATGTAGTAGTAGCAGCAGTAGTAAAGGTAAGGGGAATTGTCAAGTTTGATCTGAGGTAGGGGAGGGGAGCCCAAGCAGGGTAAAAACTTTCCCAACATGAAGGTACCCCCCTTTCCCCTCCTTTGAAGGTTGGTTGAACAAATCACACTGAAACAGGGACCTGCATTACCTACCACTCCATGGGTGGTGCCTACCTCATCCGAACATGGACCACACCTCCTACTCCTGAAGGTGGATGCCGTTCACCCGTGATGGGATTTACCACAGTGTGAGCCGCCCTTTGTCTGTCTGTTTCCCTCTGTCTGTGTTCCTGTTTGAGCTATCCCCCTTCCCCCATCACTCACTGCCTCTTTTATCCTCATCCTGCTGCTTCCTCACCCTCTCCTTCACCTTTTGGCCTTCCCCTTTTTCTATCCCTTCTCCATTCATTGCCCCTGCTCTTCCTCCTTCCTTTTCCTTTATCTCTCTTTCCCAAAACTTGCTTTCCATCCCGCCCAAGCTTCCTCCTCTTCCACACCCCATTTCCATATTATGCCCGGGCAGAAATTTTGCCTGGTATGATGTATTAAAAATACTTACATATATGACAAAAAACAGTTGTATAACAGCAACAAAGAACCAGTATTTTTGTTAGTGTCTTTTGTTAATTAACAAAACATGAGGATATTATTGTATACAGTATTTACACTGTATTTATAGATATTAATGCTTGTGTAGCTCATTGTGAATTAATTGTAGAGGCCTAATATGAACGCAGATGCTGGAATGTTTGGTCATTTGGTCAGGTCTAAGTGCACCTACCTGGCAAAGATGGGAGACATAGAGGGCCAAGTCCTTCCCTGTACACACTGGAGCTTCAACAAGACTTCCTATGACAACACCCTCACCTCTGAGGTATTATGTACTCACCTATTTGTGTGTGTGTGCATGCATGTGTGCTCGCTAATCTGTGAATGCAGGGTCAAGACTCGCTCCTGCCAGAAGCTGTGGGTACTCACCTATATGTGGTTTCAGAGGTTGAGTCTTAGTTCCTGCATCTATGTGTGTATGCTCACATGTGAGTGGAAACAACCAGTTTTTATAAAAGGAAGAAGAGAGTAGCTTCAAGTCCTTGTATCAAGAGCCATTCAGTGGAATCAAGGCACCTACCCTCCTTTCATTCTCCCAGTTAATTTTTAATTTGCTCTCATCTGGAGAAGAGGAAAGCATCTGTTCATCATCTACATCTTCACAGTATCTTAATATTTAAAAATAAACAAGTTAAGACTCCATGAGGCAGTGGAAAAGAATCCTTTCTCTGTAAGCCATGTGTACCATAATAGGCAACTGAAATGCCAGGAGCAAGGGGCTAGTAACCCATCTCCTGTATAAATTGTTAACTGTAAAACGAAGTGTTTTTTCTTTTTTGGGAGACACTGTTGTAGTCTGAGTTGGTGTGTGACTATATTTCTTAGAGCCACTTACTAATCAGTCCTGTATTTCAGTTTGAGTTGGTGTGTGACTATGATTTCCTCAGACCCACATACTCCAGCGTGTACTTTTTCAGTGCCTGCCTTGCTGCCCCATTGAGCGGCTGGCTCTCCGACAGGTAATCAAATTGTCTTTGCACCTTTTGAGTTGCATACACTGGCAACCCATAATATTGTTAGACATACATTATAGAGTTCTGTTATAAAAAGAGAGAGGAAAACTTGTGGTTATATACCAGGAGCACTTATTAATTTTAATTGATTTTATTATTATTATAATTGTTAAAAGTAACAAAAAAGTTTAGGCAGTGAGAGCCTGGATATCAGATTCGAGGAATGCATTCGATAGTATTTAGGTGCAGACATTTAGACAGATGAGTATATGAAAGACAAGGTAAACCATAGAATGGGTAAGGGCAATCAAGGTAGATGGTGTGTTCAGGTTATTTTTTTTTTATTATCACACTGGCCGATTCCCACCAAGGCAGGGTGGCCCGAAAAAGAAAAACTTTGACCATCATTCACTCCATCACTGTTCAGGTATCTATGGGGAAAAAGGAATTTTATCAGCAGAATCAAAAGAGGAATGTACCAGAGTTTAATTGTACCAACACTTTTATGTGTATGTAAGGCATGGGCTCTAAATGTTGCAGTAAGAGGAAGCTAGAGGCACAGAAATGCCATGTTTGAGTGCAATACATGGTGTCATTATTCTGTACACATGGGTCGACTCATTAACAAATAACCCACACTGAGAGAGGGCTGGTTACTTTAACTTAATAAGATAGTATTTGTGTGTTCAGCATTTATAATAATATCTTTATTTACTACAAGTACATGTACATGGTATACAGGCCTAGCTAACATCAGTGACATATGTATGTTCTACTATATAGAAAGCCCCTTGTTATGCTGAACATTTCGGGCAAATTAGGTCAGTTTTGTCTCAGGATGCGACCCACATCAGTCAGCTAACACCCAGGTACCTATTTTAAACTGATGGTTGAACAGGGACAGCAGGTGTCTTATGGAAACACGTCCCTAGTGTTTTCCAGCAATACCGGAGGAGATTTGAACTTCGGACCCTGGTGTGTGACCTGAGTGCGCTAGGGATCGAGCTGTGGTGTTTGTTTGTTTTGTATAAGCTTTTATAGTATGTGTGTGTGTTTGTTTTGTATATTTTTTTCATTGCCATGAGTGTTGAGTAGCCTACATGGTCAAAGCTCTGAAAATATCGAAACTGCTGCTATGTGTACAAGATACTTTTCGGTCCATCCTGGTCCATTCTCAAGTCACAGTTGAGACTCAAATGACAGTTGTGACTTGATAATGATCCAGGACTTACAGAAAAATTGCCTAAAGTTTTCTCTCTAAAGTGCAGGTTAGTTGTGAAATATTACAGCTGCAGTATTATGAGTGTTACTTTTTGTGAGGTAGCGATTGCACATTTAATCTATGATAAGTATGCGATTTGGGAAATGATTTTCAGCTTGGTGTTCATCCTCCTTGCAGGTACGGGTGCAAGACTATGATGAGTATAGGTATAGTTACATATATTATTCTTGGAAATAGTCTCAACTGGTTACCTAACATATCTAGAACCATACTAGTGCTGCATTTCATGATGGGACTGATGCATCCAACATCCACACAGACTTCATATACTTTAGGTAAGTACTGTCATCACCATCTCTTCCACACCACCTCACTACCACCAATGTACACCTAGATATTGTGTAAATGATAATATAAGACTATTATGAGAGCCTCACTGCTTGGTTTTCCTGGTTAGTCCTGGGTTAATAATACAAAGAAATTATTCTTCTTCTTTGCTAGCCATGGAAATATGTGAACCACGTCTTAGGTCTGTGGTGGGCATTATGGTGTACCTGCCTTGGACTCTGGCTCTCGTGTGGTGGGGTGGTATAGCTTACCTCATCAGAGACTGGCGCTGACTTATGTTTACTGTCACCATTCCTTCTGCCTTCATCCTTCCAGTAGTCTGGTATGACCTTCTTTGTTATTTTTTAATATTATTCATTGTTTTTAATATTGCATTAATGTGGAAATGGCCAAGGGGATAAGAACATAAGAAAGAAGGAACACTGCAACAGGCCTACTGGCCTATGCGAGGCAGGTCCAATTCTCCCACTAGCTTAAGCCAATGCCTTGACCCAGTGAGGCAAGACACGTCACCTAAAGCTAATACTACTCGCCACTCACTATATGCTAAGGATGAAAATATTTTAAGTAATGAATGTACAGCTTCTCCTCACTTAGTGACATACTCGTTTATCAATGACTCGGACTTACAATGGGCTCTCTGACCAGTATGCATACCTAAATAATGTATATTACAGCTGATTTCCTCTATTCTACTTATTACAATATACAGTACACTACTGTATAAACATTTAAAAATCTACCAGAAATGCTATAAATGGTGCAAAGGTGACATTAAAACAATATCAAAGATGGTTGACACAAACCCATTACCATTATAGTATGTTAGTCACTTAGCGACAAATTCATTTACCGCTGTGGTCTTAGGAACGGAACTCCGTCGTTAAGTGAGGAGAGGCTTTACTCTACATGTATATGCATTTTACTTTTTTATTGTTTTTAGGCCTAGTCTAATGCTCACTTAATATATGATAGTGTAAACATATCAGGCATTTATGTTCATTTAAAAGTGTCAGAAAAGGGTGATTCATTTTATGGTGATTTTTGCTTTACAGCAGTAACCTGAAACCTAACCTGCCATATAATCAGGGCCTTTATGTACACTGAGAGTTTAGTTTAGTCCTTATTTTAGGGATTAAAGAATTCTTGATTGGTTGTGAACAGGTTACATTCAACCTTAATGATGCCCCTTTAGTCTGAAAGCTTTAATCCAAAATAACAAGCCAACAATAAATTAAAACCCTATTAAAAAAATGTTTTGCAAATATGGTGTATACAGTTACTGGTGTCACACATTATTACTAGAAACTATAATTTTACTCTTGCTGGAAGTGGTAACATGGGTTTGACCCCTTTTGTATATACAGACAAAATAAAATATGACCAACAACCAAAAGGAGTCGGGCTTCTGTGATTGCTACTCGAGGTTATAGTTCTTTGGGATATGGGGAGCCAGCTGCATCTCCTATTTTGTTTCCTCATTTTTTGAGCAACTTTCTTTGCGCACAGGCACTCATGTGAACATCTGGCTTCATACAGATACAGGGGGCCCTCTTTGTTCGTAAATTAACCCTTTTCCTGGACCCATTCGTGGACCCCCGCAAACGAGGGCATCGCAAGCGTTTTTTTTTCCGTAACATTCTTTTATGGGAAAAAATTTTTGCCCCGCATACCAAATTATAAACCCCCATACCGTTTTCGTCCAGACGCTTCCAATGTGCCCCACCAGCCTCACATGTGCCGCTCCGCCCTTGTTTCCCACCAGCCCCCCGGGGTAAACCCAAGCATACACTCGGAATATTTCGTATTTTTACAGTATTTTGGGTGCGTTTCTGGAAAATAAGTGACCATGGGCCCCAAGAAAGCTTCTAGCCCCAACCCAACCCCTAAAAGGGGTAAAAATTACTATGAATGAAGAAAGAGAAATTGATAAGTAGAAAGTGGAGTGCGTATAGGACCTATCACTGTACAAGAAACCCCAATCAACCATCGTACTATTGTGGGCACCAAAAGACAATCAAGGAAGCGTTCTTGCCAAAGGTTCAACGTTTTTTCAAAAAACAAAGATCGAAATTTGAGGAAGATTTTGAGAGATCTTATTGGTGTGGATAAAAAAAAAAAAGATGCAGGAGATAGCGTTTTCCCAAGCGTCATTTTGAAAAGGCAGGAAGTTGCATGACGATTTAATTTAAAAAAAATGCCGCAATGGGATGATGTGAGTAAATTTTAAGGCCAGCAAAGGGTTTGGTTTGAGAGATTTAAGAAGGAGGGGCATCCATAGTGTGATAAGGCAGGTGAGGCTGCCAGTTCGGACCACAAAGCGGCTAAAAAAAATGTGCGGGAAATTTCAAGGAGTACATAGAAATAAAGGGACGGGGAAAACCTGAACAAGTGTTTAATTGTGATGAAACACCGTTCTGGAAAAAATGCCAAGCGGGACCTAATTACTCGGGGGAAAGGCACCCCGGGAAAAAGCCTAGAAAGACAGGTTTATTTTGTTGATGTGTCCAATGCTACGGGGATTGCAAAGTGAAGCCTTTTTTAGTTACCTCTGAAACTCCCGGGCCTTTTAGGCAAAAGAATGTCCTAAGGGATAATTTGTGTGTGCTGGGGGGGCAAACATAAGGCGGGGTACTGGGGAATTTTTTTTCTATAACGGGTTACCCCAGCATTTGCCCCCAATGTGAAAAATTACCTAACTGAAAAAAAATTAGAATTAAGTGGCCCGGGGTTTAGAAAATGCCCCTGGTCACCCTACAGACGGGTCAAGGTTTTTATGGGGACAGAGTTTCATTAAGGTGAATTTTTTTGCCTCCAAAACCCACTCCTTCCTGCAGCCCATGGACCACAGGTTATTTCCAACTTCAAGAAACTGTACACAAAAGCCTTTTTGAAAGGGCTTTGTAAGACCTCAGAAACTCAACTGATTTAAGATTTTTGGGGGGAATCATTTAAAATACCTCAATTGTGAAAACCCTTATAGGTAAGGCTTGGGGGGAAGTGACAAAAGGACCTTGAACTTTTTGGAAAAACTGGGGCCCAAATGTGAGAAAAAGGGGATTTTAAAGGGTTTTGGGGCTAACCCTGAGAATCCTGTGCCATTGAGATCCATTGTGGCATTTGGGAAAGTCCTTGGGGTTGGAGGTTTATGGGAGGAGTGGAAGAGTTGGTGGAAGGGGGAAACCAATGAAGAACTAACCACTGAATGAGTGCTAGATCAACTTCAAAGCAAGAGGCCACACCTGAGGAAATTGCTTCGGGAGGAGGGGAAGGAGAGAAATTGAAGAAGTTGCCTACTTCAAAGATTTAAGGAAATCTAGTGCTAAGTGGCTTGTAATGCAAACCTTATGGATGAAAATCAAACCCTCACATAGCTAAATTGCAAGCCGTGTCGTTGGTGATTTTATTACACTGACAATGTTGTAAACACTTTAGGCTAAGTCATAAAGAACGAGAGGTACAGACCACTATGGACTAGTATCCTTTGGAAAGAATGTCGCAGTGGACTCTAAGCTGGCCCTAGTGGCTTTAAAAAAGAAGGGAAGTAACCCCAGAAAAGGACTTACTACCTCAGTTAAGGAAGGGGATTCCCCTTCTAAACTGTAAGAAGTTATGCTTCCCTCCATCCATTCCATCAATCATACCAGATCTTCAATGAAAAGTAAGTGTCGATTTAATTGTGCAGCCTTTTTCAGTTTGTGGTATTAAAATTAAACATTTCATGTGAGTAAAAAAAATTTTTTTTTCATACTTCTTTGTGGAATGTGAGCGTCTGCAGTGATTATTTTATTTCCATTATTCTTATGGGAACAATTGATTTCGCACTGAATCGATTAATTTCGCATAACGATAGGGCCCTCTTGCACGATTAAATCGTTAACCGGGGGTCCCTGTTACTATAAACAAAATTTACGATTTACGAATCAATTTTCCCCATTAGAAATAATGTAAATACAATTAATCCGTTCCTGACACCCGGAAGTATTAAAACAAAAAAATTTTTAACATGAAATATACATGTAGTACATAAACAATACAATGGGAAATGATGAATGAAACATTAACAGCATAACACTTACCTTTATTGGAGATTCTTCTTAGTGTATGGGAGACTGGAGGAGAAGAGTGGATTGTTTATAGTTTGGAAGGGGAATCCCCTTCCATCAACACCTCAGGTACCATTTGCTTTTCTGGGGTTGCTTCTCTTCTCTGTTTCTTAATGCCACTAGGACCTCCTTGAGAGTCACTGGAGTCTGTCTCACAAAATATGTGGAGAGGCTCTGTTCTGGCATCTCTAACACTTTCCAAAATGCCCAAGACTTGTCACTGTACAGTTGCCATTGGTTGCAACACTGCTTAGGGTGAGTTTCTCATAAGCTTCCATCTTACCCCACTGTAAAATCTCTTTAATTTCTGAAGAATGGCACCTTCTTTCATCTCTCTTTTCCATCCTCTGCACAACTTCTGAGCGCGTGTGTTGCTCTTCCTCTGAAGCTCTTGCAGCTTCCTCAGTGTGAGCTCTTATTCGAGTAAGGACCTTCTTCCACCAATTCTTCCACCTCCTCTGCAGCAAGACTCGCTGCGATGTAGCCTTCCTGCTGAAGCTCTTCACTCCTCAGTGCGGACACTTCATTGTTCTTCCACCAATTCTTCACATCCCAAACTCACATCCAACCCCATGGAACTCCCCAGTGCCACAATTTGATTTACAGCAGAATAAGGCTCATTAGGTCAGTCCCAATCTTCAAAATCCTCTTTGGTCGACACAAATCTGGCCACAATTTTCTCCAGGCAGAGTTCAAGCTGTAGTCATCCCCTCAAGCCATACCTATAAAGGTAACGCAGTGGAGAATGTGAAGTGTTCTCCAAAATTCCCTTGGGGTCAAGTGAGTGTCTGTGGTCACAGTCAAGCACCTGTGAAAAATTGCTTTTGTGTAGAGTTTTTTAAAGTTTGGCAATAACCTGCTGGTCCCAGGGTTTTGGAGGAGGAGTGGTATTCGGGGCAATAACTTTACGGATGAACCCAAACTCCTCGAAAATTAGGTCATCCAATTTGGAGGAGAGTAGTGCATTGTCCATTACTAGCAGCACTTAGATCAATTTCTTTCCAAGAGATACTCCTTCACACTAGGCCAAACATTCATTGACCACTCAACGAAAATTCCCTCGTGACCATGCCTTACTATTAGATTTCCAAAACACACAATTTACTCTTCATAACATTGTTTTTCCTGAACACTCTGGGATTTTCAGAATGGTACACTAGAAAGGTTCACTTTGAAATCCCCACTAGCATTAGCACAGAACATTAGCATCAGCCTGTCTTTCATAGGCTTGTGTCCTGGCATTGCCTTTTCCTCTTGTGTAATGAAGGTCCTCTTTGGCTTTTTTCTTCCAAAAGGCCTGTTTTGTCACAATTTGAACACTTGTTCAGGTTTCAGTCCTTCAG